GGCACAGTGCCAAAACCACAGTTGACATTCAGGACATAGTTGCAGCCATTAGCAATGACAATGATGATGGTGGTGATGATCGTGATCACAGAAAAGACATGGGCTGATCATTGCCTACTGAATAAATCTATAAAATGTGACTGATAATAATTTTGCTGTTACAATTATTCTTTTTTTTTTTAAGATTTTATTTATTTATTTGACAGAGAGAGATCACAAGTAGGCAGAGAGGCAGGCAGAGTGAGAGGGTGGAAGCAGGTTCACCGCCAAGCAGAGAGCCCGATGTGGGGCTCGATCCCAGGACCCTGGGATCATGACCTGAGCCGAAGGCAGAGACTTTAATCCACTGAGCCACCCAGGCGCCACTGTTATGATTATTCTATAAATGTGGCTAATTAAGCCTAGGTGTGGTCGTACATGAACTGTCACATACAAGTCCGTGTGTAGACATAGTTTTGTTTTGGGTAAATATCTAGGAGTGAAATTGTATGCTAATTATATTTTTAACTTATTAAAAAACTGCCAAACTATTTTTCAAAGAGGTTGTACCATTTTACATTCCCACCAGCAGTGACTGGTGGAAATATGATTCATTCTTGAAAGATGTCTTCAATTTCCAAAGCAAATAAATAATTGAAACGTGATATGATGGGGCGCCTGGGTGGCTCAGTGGGTTAAGCCGCTGCCTTCAGCTCAGGTCATGATCTCAGGGTCCTGGGATCGAGTCCCGCATTGGGCTCTCTACTCAGCAGGGAGCCTGCTTCCCTCTCTCTTCTCTGCCTGCCTCTCTGTCTACTTGTGAACTCTCTCTGTCAAATAAATAAATAAAATCTTTTAAAAAAAGAAAAGAAATGTGATATGATGGGGGTCATAAGCTAACCTTATATGAACTTACTCATAGAGTTGGTTGTGAGGATGAGATGAACTAATACATAAAAAACCTTAGCAGAGTAAGTGCTCCTTATCCATTAGTAGTATCGTCATTATTATGTTAATTTAATTTCTTTGGTCATTAATAGTAGTATATTGTGACTTATCTTGACAGACTAAAAATAGAGATAAACAGGGTAGACTTTAAATATTAAAGTCACATGTTATGTAAAAAATACATTCATGGGACACCTTGGTGGCTCAGTCATTTAAACATCCAACTCTTGATTTTGGCTCAGGTCATGTTCTTAGGGCCGTGAGATCCAGCCCTGGTCGGCGGGCTCCGTGCTCAGGGAGAATCTGCTTAAGATTCTCTTCCTCCCCACTTCTTTCTCTTGCACACGTGGTCTCTCCCTCTCTTTCTCTCTCAAATAAATAAATATATGTATTTTTTCCAAAGATTTTATTTATTTATTTGACGGAGAGAGAGAGAGACACAGTGAGAGATGGAACACAAGCAGGGAGAGTGGGAGAGGGAGAAGCAGGCTCTCCACAGAGCAGAGAGCCCAAATGTGGGGCTTGATCTCAGAATCCTGGGATCTTGACCTGAGCTGAAGGCAGACACTTAACCAACTGAGCCACCCAGGGGCCCCTAAAATAAATAAATATTTAAAAAAAAAATACTCACATTCATGAAAACATTCTTAAACAAAATACACATTCCTTTTTCTTTCCAGTAGAGGGGATGGTGAGACTTTAGGGCTTGCTTACCCAGCAGTGTAGTAAATGCTAAGGCTTGCAGGAATTGTTGCTGTAGGCTTTTTTTGTCATCTTCCTTTAGCTTTAGCTCTCAGTGAGTGACCTTTCATTATATACTGTTTATTTTAATCCTCAGGGCCTGAAATGTATTACTAATTTAGAGTTGATTATATCATTTAAAAAAATAAAGATATATACATTGACTTGTGATTATTTTGAAATGTTATTATAGAGACAGCACCTTCACTTTGGGAAGTGGAATTTGCGAAGCAGTTAGCCATGGTAAATGAACAGCCCCTTCAGAATGGTTTTGCAGAGATGATCCAGTGGACGAAAGAGGGGAAGCTGTGGGAGTTTCCGATTAACAATGAAGCCGGTAAGTTAATTTCAGAGGTTTATAAAATTCCGTATGGAGATTAAATCTGGTTGGTGTTCAGTTATAGAGTCTAGATATTTACATGAATTTCAAAACTTTGTATAAATATCTCTGTGGTGTCTGAAAATAACTTTGACAGGTTTTTTTTTAAGTTAGAATTTCACTTAATTCTGGGGGTTTTTTTGTTTTAAAGATTTTTATTTATTTGACAGATAGAGATTACAAGTAGGCTGAGTGACAGGCAGAGAGAGAGAGAGGAGGAAGCAGGCTCCCTGCCGAGCAGAGAGCCCAATGTGGGGCTTGATCCCAGGACCCTGGGATCATGACCAGAGCCAAAGGCAGAGGCCTTAACCCACTGAGCCACCCAGGCGCCCCTAATTCTGGTTTTTTTATAAGAAAAATAAAGAAGTAAAACTAGGGGGCGCCAGGGAAGCTCAGTTGGTTAAGGGTCCAACTCTTTTTTTCTTTTTTTTTTTTTGGAAGATTTTACTTATTTATTTGAGAGAGAACATGAGTGGGAGGGGAGGGGCAGAGGGAGAAGCAAACTCCCTGCTGTGCGGGGAGCCTTATGTGGGACTCCCATCCCAGGACCCTGGGATCATGACCTGAGCCAAAGGCAGACACTTAACCAACTGAGCCACCCAGGCGTCCTTAAACGTCCAACTGTTGATCTCAGCTCAGGTCTTAAGCCCTGTGTTGGACTCTGCGCTGGGCATGGAGTCTGTTTTAAAAAAATAATGAAAATTTTAAAAGCAAGTAAAATCATACGGTAGAAATGTATCATGAATTTCTTTTTTTTTTTTTTTTTAAGATTTTATTTATTTGACAGAGACACAGCGAGAGAGGGAGCATAAGCAGGGGGAGTGAGAGGGAGAGAAGCAGGTTTCCTGCCGAGCAGGGAGCCCAATGCGGGGCTCGAACCCAGGACCCTGGGATCATAACCTGAGCCAAAGGCAGATGTATAATGACTGAGCCACCCAGGTGCCCCGTGTCATGAATTTCTATGTGACGTGAAGGTGTTGACTACAAATGATGACAGTTTTCTAATTGCTAAGCAGGAGATTACCTGGAAAATCTTCTCATACATTAAATCTTGGGTATGAGATGATATTTTGGTTTTAGAGAACATTACAACTCTTAAGTTTTATGCTGGTTATCTTTTACTCATAAAGCTATTGCACTAATGAGATGTAAGGTTCTTGTGCTTAAATGCTACTCAAAGCAAAAATGTTAGAAGACTTCAAGATTTTTTGAAACTCTGGCTCCATACGTAGGTTCTTTGAACTACTAGATGCTATGTTATCTACTTTCCTGAAGATTATTCTGGAGATATTACTTCTCCCTCACTCAAAAGGAAAACAGTATTACTATGCAATTTATTTCTTATGCTTTTTTTTTTTTAGGTGTATTTTCAATTAGAAGAGATTCACTTGTGTCCCACAAATTTTAATTTGTTGTGTTTTCATTTTCATTCAATTCTGAGTGTTTTTTCAGTATATTGCTTGATCTTTAACTGTTTCCTATTGTCTTTCTGTTACTGATTTCTAGTTTGATTCCATTATGATCTGAGCATGTACTGTGTATTACTCCACTTATTTTAAATGTGTTGCAGTTTGTGACCCAAGATGTGGTCCAGCTAGGTGAATGCTCCATCAACTCCTGGAAAGATTTTGTATTCTGAAATAGTTTGGTGGAGTGTTCGTAGACGTCAGTTTGATAATGTTTGTTGTTGTTGTTCAGTTCTTCTTTATCTTGGCTAATTTTCTAATTGAGATGTTTTTCTTTCTCCCTAGTAATTTTTTTTTTGTTTTGCTCTGAAGTCTCTTTTGTCTGATAATCATATAACCACTCATGCTTACTTTTTTAAAAAAATTAATGTTAACAAGATGTATTTTTCTCCATCCTTTTATTTTCAATCTTCTGATTTTGTGTTTGAAGTGTGTTTCTTATAGAAAGCATATCATTGGATGCATGATTTTATATTCACTCTCCAATCTTTGTCTTTTGATTGGTGTATTTAGAACATTTACATCTGAAGTAATTATTGATTTGTTAGGACTTAAGTCTCCAATTTTATTACTTGTTTTCTTTTCATTTTCTCTATTTCTCATTACATTTTTTGGGGGGGGGGTGGTCCCTGTGAGCTGCTTGAACATGTTTTAAGATTCTATTTTGTTTTATTTATATAATTTTTTTGTGTAGTTTGTGTAGTTTTCTTAGTGGTTGCTGTAGAATTGAAGTTTTTATTAGCAGTAACTGCTACTACACTTTGAACATTTATAATATGAATCGTAATGTGAACATTTATAATGAACATTTATAATGTGCTAGGCATTAGAAGAGTTTTATAAGCTTTGTATCTATGTAATCTTTACAGAAACCCCATGAAGAATGTTCTATTTTAATCCTCATTTTATACCTGAAAACTGATGCTCAGAGAAGTTAATTAATTTGCCCAGTCACACAGTTGTTAAATTGGCTGGCAAACCTAGGTCTAACTCCAAAGTTGATGGCTTTAACTGTAATAGTCATTAGTGCTAATTTTGCAATAGAGATTTTACTTCAAAATTGTATTTTATCTCATTTCCTAGGTTTTGATGATGATGGTTCAGAATTTCATGAACATGTATTTCTGGATAAACACCTGAAAGATTTTCCAAAACAAGGACCAATTCGCCACTTCATGGAGCTGGTGACCTGTGGCCTTTCCAAAAACCCATACCTGAGTGTTAAACAGAAGATTGAACACATAGAGTGGTTTAGAAATTATTTTAATGAAAAACAAGACATTCTAAAAGAAAGTGGGATACGGCTTAATTGAAGACCATGGAAATTCTTATTTCAAGCTGTTGGTGGTGCATATTAAAACTAAATAAAATAATTTTACTAGAAGTTTTCCTATATTGTGTTAGTTATTACATTTGATTTGAATGGTATAAATGTTAAAATGCTTTACAGTATATAGTGGTAACTGAAGAATATTCTTGCATCGAGAAAAGTCAGTATTTACAGATTCAACTAGTAATTCTTTTTTTTTTTTTTTTCTTAAGATTTTATTTTATTGCTTTGACAGAGAAACAGTGAGAGAGGGCAGGGAAAGTGGGAGAGGTAGAAGCAGGGATCCCAATGCAGGCCTCGATCCCAGGACCCTGGGATCATGACCTGAGGCAAAGGCACCAGACACATAACAACTGAGCCACCCAGGCGCTCCATCAACTGGTAATTTGTAACAAGAAGAATATCTTAGAATTACTACAAGTTTAAGACAACTTCTTTTCCTTTTCAGTGACTATACTTCTTTGAAATACAATTATTAGCCACATATCTGATGACATCAGAGTTCTCTAACAGTTGAGATCGTTTATAGACAGGTTTATATGCACTGAGTATGTATATTTACATACACATATTTTTATTTATATATCTTTATATATTTCACCCTAAATTAATTACCCTTATCTAAGTCTGGGTCATGAACAAGAAGTAACCTTGTAGAGATAAGTGGCTTATTCTAACCCCTCTAGTCTTTTAGGTCTTTGTGCCAAAGTTAGAACTATTTATTTTCTATTACGGTGCTTAGCAGTGTGACTCAAATTCATACAACTCAAAGGAATAAAGATTCTAAAAAACTCAAAACAAGAATTTAGTTTATAGTGGTCGTACGCTAGTAGTGTTTTAGGCTCCCAGCATAAGCAAATGGAAATCATATGAAGGAACCCATCATCAACTCAGAATTCAAATTACAAAACACATAAGGAAATAGAACAGTGTGATTGGACATGAGCAGAAGCAGACGCATAAAGTCTTTTTTTTAAAGATTTTATTTAATTTTTTGACAGAGATCACAGAGAAGCAGGCAGAGAGAGAGGAGGAAGCAGGCTCCCTGCTGAGCAGAGCGCCCGATGTGGGGCTCGATCCCAGGACCCTGGGATCATGACCTGAGCCGAAGGCAGAGGCTTTAACCCACTAAGCCACCCAGGTGCCCCACTGTAAAGTCTTTAAATGTTAAGCTTGGGGCTGCTGGGTGGCTCAGTCAGTTAAGTGTCCAACTCTTGATTTTGGCTCAGGTCATAATCCCAGGGTCATGAGATCAAGCCCTGTGCCCGGCTCTGTCCTGGGTATGGAACCTGCTCTCTCTCAAATAAATAAATATTAGACTTAACCATATACTATGAACTCAATGTAAGATAGAGTAAAATATAGAGCAGGAGATAATAAAAGTGACTAGATGTTGGGAAACAAAAATTTAAGGAGTCTAACAACAGATTAGACACAAAGGTAGATCTAAAGAAATCCATATGGGGACACCTGGGTGGTTCAGTAAATTAAGCATCCAACTCTTGATCTCAGTTCAGGTCTTGATCTCAGGGTCAAGAGTTTTGAACCTACTTAACCCACTGAGCCACCCAGGCGCCCCAAGAGTGTTTAACCTACTTTAAAAAAAAAGTGCCTAGTGTGAAGCCTACTTAAAGAAAAATCCATATGTAGTGCAGAGAAGAAAAGAGAAAATAAATTTGAAAGAAAGGTAAAGATTGATATAAGAAGGTAACATTTGTTAGGCTCCTGGCTGGCTCAGTTTGTAGAGCATGTGACACTTGAACTCATGACGCTTGAACTCAGAGCCATGAGTTTGAGTCGCATGTTGGGCATGGAGAACTACTTAAAAAAAGTTTTTTTTTTTAAAAAGAAGGTAACAGGGGCACCTGGGTGGCTCAGTGGATTAAGCCTCTGCTTTCGGCTCAGGTCATGATCTCAGGGTCCTGGGATTGAGCCCCACATCGGGCGCTCTGCTCAGTGGGGAGCCTGCTTCCCCTTCTCTCTCTGCCTGCTGCTCTGCCTACTTCTAATCTCTCTCTGTCAAATAAATAAGATCTTAAATAAATAAATGAATGAATAAATGAATGAATGAATGAATGAAGGTAACATTTCTGCAATCAGATTTCCAGAAGGAGAGAAGAAGAAATGGGTCAGAAGCTATCTGGATACTTGAGGAGTTTTTATGGTTTATGAAAGACATCAATTCACAGACAGTAATCTCTTGCTCATATATAGAAACTGCACCCAACATCAACAAAATACATTCTTTACTAGTACATGGGGACACCCGAACTTTTTCGAGTACTTAGTTCATTTATTTTTAATCATAGTTACTGATCTATTTGGATTTATTTTTACTAGCTTCTTTTGTGTACCATTTGTATGCTTTGTTGCCTTCATTTTGGTTATTTTTTTCTCATGTCATACTAGTGGAAGAGAGGGATAAAACATAAAATATCTTAAGAATAAGGGCTTAAGGGGTACTTGGATGGCTCAGTTGATTAAGCATCTGCCTTCGGCTCAGGTCATAATCTCAGGATCTTGAGTCTCACATCAAGCTTTCTGCTAAGCAGAGAGGCTGCTTCTCCCTCTCCCTCTCCCCCCTCCCTGCCCCCACCCATGCTCTTTATCTAATAAATAAAATCTTTATTAAAAAATGAGGGTTGGGGCACCTGGGTGGCTCAGTGGGTTAAAGCCTCTGCCTTTGGCTCAGATCATGATCCCAGGGTCCTGGGATAGAGCCCAGCATCGGGCTCTCTGCTCAGCGGGGAGCCTGCTTCTCCCTCGCTCTTTGTGCCTGCCTCTCTGCCTACTTGTGATCTCTGTCTGTCAAATAAATAAATAAAATCTTTAAAAAAAAATGAGGGTTAAATACATTTGTTAGATGAAAGTAATTGGCTAGCAGCAGACCATAAAAATCCTAAAGATGTGCTTTAACTGAAAAGGACATAATCCCACATTTTAGGTATGAAATATAAGAAAAAATAGCAAAGTGATAAATATCTAAGTTAATTATAAAATAGTAAAATGTCTTATGGGAGTGATTAAAATATATGACAATAATAGGATATGTGAAGATGAATTTTTTTTTTTATTTTTGTTATCTGAGAGAGAGCGCGAGTGCACAAGCAGGGGGGATGGGCAGAGGAACAGGGAACAGCAGACTCCCGACCAAGCAGGGAGTCCAAAGCGGCCCTTGATCCCAGGACCTGAGCTGAAGGCAGACATTCAACCAATTGATCAAGAGAGAGAGAGATGAGCAGGGGGAAGTGTAGGGGGAAAAACAGACTCCCAACTGAGCAGGGACCTGGACTCGGGGCTCAATCCCGGGACCCTGATCCCTGGACCCTGGGATCATGACCTGAACTGAAGGCAGAGTGACTAACTGAGTGACTTAACTGAGTGACCCAGGTGCCCAGGATGAATTTTTTAAAATGTCAGGTGATAATGCTCTTTGGCAGAGACACGCTAAAACAAGAATACCAGAAGTTTGAAAGTAAACAGGAAAAATGGACAAGTGTTAATCTGGTTGTGGCTAGATTCACATCAGAAAAAAATAGTCTGACAGACATTATTAGAGACCTTATTTTTAAAATGATAACTTAATAACTTAAAGAAATTGGATCTCGGGGCACCTGGGTGGCTCAGTGGTTAAAGCCTCTGCCTTCGGCTCAGGTCATGATCTCAGGGTCCTGGGATCAAGCCCCACATCAGGCTCCCTGCTCAGCAGGGAGCCTGCTTCCCCTCCTCTCTCTCTGCCTGCCTCTCTGCCTACTTGTGATCTCTGTCTGTCAAATAAATAAATAAATAATCTTAAAAACATAATAAAATAAAAGAGCATCTACATGCCTTTAAAAAAAAAAGAAAGAAAGAAATTGGATCCCTAGTTTAAAGATCTTCCTAGAAAGGGGCACCTGACTGGCTCGGTAGAGCATGAAACTCTTGATCCCAGGGTCGTGAGTTCCAGCCCCACACTGGGCATAGAGATAACTTAAAAAAAACAAAACAAAACAAAACAAAAAAACTTCCGAGCAAGAAAGCAACAACTTCAGACTATTTCTCAGGAGAGTTTTAAGCCTTCAGAAGAAAGGTAATTCTTGGGGAGCTTGGGTGGCTCGGTGGGTTAAAGACTCTGCCTTCAGCTCAGGTCATGATCTCAGGGTCCTGGGATCAAACCCCACATCTGCTCTCTGCTCAGCGGGGAGCCTGCTTCCTTATCTTTCTCTGCCTACCTCTCTGCCTACCAGTGATCACTGTCAAATGAATAAAATCTTAAAAAAAAAAGAAGAAAGGTAATTCTTACACAAATTATTCTAAAGCACAGAAAAAGAACAAACAAACCTCAAATTAATTTCAAAAGACTAGAATTAACAAAGGTTAATCATAATCATGAAGGCACATTTGAAAAACCAAACAACATGGCAAACTAAATCCAGCAATGAATAGGAAAGAAACAATAGTCAAACTGAGTTTATTCCTGGAATGCAAGGGAGGTTTAACAACGGGGGAAAAATAATAAAGAATGCAGGGGCGTCTGGGTAGCTCAGTCGGTTAAACTTCTGACTCTTGGTTTTGGCTCAGGGTCATGAGATTGA